ATAATAATATAATAATAATAATAATAATAATAATAATAATAATAATAATAATAATAATAATAATAATAATAATAATAATAATAATAATAATAATAATATTGAAAATACCGCGAACAATATAGAAATGCAGCGCAACAATCAAGTGGTCCTCACCTGTATTGCACACGATACCAACGTCCTCGTCGTGACCTCCGCAGTTATGGACACCCCATCCTCTGTGAGTGCACTGATGTAGGAATGATTCACCACCAGTACAATGTACGTCATCTAGCCAAATTGGATCAGGTCCTTGTCCTAAATACTTGAAGCTTGATGCGTTCTGGTATCCAAGCTGTTTACATGCTACGTTTGTGTCAGTCATGTCCCAGTAATCATTACATATCGTCCCCCATGAGCCATTGTAATAAATCTGCAAAATTCCTTGGACTAATGACGGAGAATACGCTTTATTCAACATCCTCAATGTAGTTCGTAATCCTAAGGATAGGGAAAGAATCATGTGTTAACTGTTTTTTTATTATCAAAAAGAGTTCATTCATATAAATACTAATATTGACTTTGCGATCAAAGAATATCAAGGCATGATGATTGGATGTGATGTGATGCCCATCTAGATATTCCGATAGAACTACCCCCTTTCTGCGGGAATTTGGTATGCCGCTGTTATGTAAAGAAATGTTCTTGTCCAACGCTAATATTACTTTTCATAACTGGAAAGGTTAAGTTCATAGGCAATATATGAAAATGAGTTTACTGTTATGTAAAATGTAGTTTCTGTTAATCCTGTACAATTTGCAATTTGTCAACTAATATTTTTCTTTACATTTATCAAGCGTAGTTTTCTTTTAAGGATTGGTAATTTCATACATTTCTTCTTCGATTGGGTTAAAGATGGTATATATACATGTATATGAGATCATTGAATCGTCCACTGCTGATATGATTTGCTTTAAGTACCCGGAATTTCTTTTGAAATTATAATGGTGTAAGACTTTGTTCTTTTGCAGCGTGTAGTGAATCTGTTTGACTTTCATATTCTCAAACAGTGTTTCAAGTCTTTATGCACTTTGCATATCATGCCTGCATACTTGATAATAATAATTCACGGATATTGATTCTTGATGTAGAACTATAACTTACCAAGTGCACTGCAAATACAACCGGCCAAAAACCAAATAAGGAAAACGGTCAATCGAACCTTCTCCATTCGTTAATCGTCTATTAATTTGGTATTTACTTTACTGCCTCATTTGCATGGAAATGTATACCGTCGTCTTTGTGGTCTTTTCAGCTTTTGTTTTTACTCCAGAACGTTCAGTCCCTCGAACGTTTTTCATTCCTTGACACATCAGGTGCATGACGGCGGTCAGGGATTTTTGTTTTTACTCTGAAAAATCGTACAAAACAAAGGATTCTTCTTGTTCGAATCCTATCAAATAAAATATCCCTTCTTATGCTAAGTTAAAGGCCTGTATTTTATTCAATTTTATAGCTGTTTACCAAAGAATGCGAAGCGAACAGTGCAATATAGCGTAATATCGATACTTATATTAGGTTGACTGACCACGCAGAAAGAATTGAGGACGAGGCTCTTTTTGTTTGTTCCGAGATTTATTCTAAATAGACCATCCAACCAAAATATCGAAAGTGAACTGTTATGCAAGCCATTCTCGTACCAAGATCCTTTGCAAAACCAAGAATCTTGGTATATATGCATGATATATAGAATCGATCGTTTCCAACCAGTCTTCGATTTTTTTCTGTGCATGACCCAGTGAATGTCAGCTATTTCAGCCAATTTCACTTATAGATGTATCACCCAGAGGGTCAGAACACACTCAACATGCTCAATAGGTCTCCTCCAAACTAATCTGTGTCCAAGTCATTGATAGAGCCTGTTATGACGTGATCGGAGGGCAGCTACACCATATTGATTTGACTTCTTTCATGCACGAGAAACACTTTCACGGTAACGTAAATGACTTAACACTTTTCTTTTCCAACCAACCCTAGGTCTTAGCTCAAGGGCTAGGGTTACGATAATATTGAAGTCTCGGATGTTATTAGCCATTCCGGAGTTATGAAATGAATTGTAATTTCTGTCATATTGAGCCAATCGAAATACTTACCATATCACTGCAGTAAAAAAACTTTATCGACTTTAGTGTAGGTTCCAAGTTACAGATCATTTGGACAATATTTAATTAATGAGAAGCCGTGCAATTTACAGAGAATGTATGGGGATTTTGACCGCGTCCCCCAAAACAATACATTCTCTGTTGATGAAACTAGGAATAAATACTGTTAAGCTAGTTTTTATCCAAACGTTTTGAAACTTGGTATATTTACTAATTCTTGGGTGTCCTTTCATGGGGTGGGGTTTGTTTCGTGATTAGATCAATATTTCTTTGATTAGTGCCGAGTCCCCTGCGCAACTGCGGAATGCCGGACTAATGTTCAACAGAAAGAGAATGACAGAACAGCATTGATAAGGATACAGTACAGACGTATATTAATACTTCAGCAAGCAATTCTATATAAGTTCTTTGGCTTACTGATCTAAGTACAAACTACATAAGTAGGTACACAATAGTGGGTCAATAAAAAGTAACAAAAAAAAACTGCAACATCCATATACACTTTCAATTTTGTTGCTAGCTTTCATTATGGTGAACGAGCATCGAGTACCAGTAATAACTATTATAATGATATCTTTTAAAACAAAGTCAGTAGAGTGGTTTTCATTTGACCGCGAAGCAAAAATGATTATCTAGTTAGTATTTGTTTAAGAGAAAGGAAAGATCATAATAGGTTCATGCTGTTCTACCAACTATAGCTTCCTGGTCAAATGGAACTACTCTTGCTTTGTATACACTATCTACTTAGCTGCAGGYCACAATTAGGATTATATGCTTCACTTGAATCTCAAATACAACATTTGGGAGCACTTTTCTCTAAGTCTTGTCCAATCCAAACAAAAATCAAAAAACCTAATAAATTGTTCAATATCCTAAAAAATACAAATCAACAATTCCCTTTTAGCCATCTAACCAACGTTTGTGCGTGGTCGAGACCAACGGAAATTACATGGCGAATGCAAAACTTGAACAGCACGTCTTGGTTAATTGCTTTGAATGTTGATTTGATGACATCTAAGTTGT